GGGTGGGGGGTGGGGAGAGATAGCAAGGGGAGAAATGCCAGATGTAGGTGATGGGGAGGAAGGCAGCAAATCACACTGCCACGAGTGTTTCTATGCAACAATTTTGCATGTTCTTCACATGTACCCCAAAACCTAAAATGCAATAAAATAAATAAATGGGAAAAAAAAAAAAAAAAGAAAGTGAACCTTTGAATAGTGTGGTTGGTATCTACAGTATGAATACAGAAATTGTGATGGGCTTCCCTCTTAAAATAGGCTTATTTAAACAGAGTAAGCATTGATGTGTCAAGCTCCAATGAAATTCCATTATACCTAAAGATATTTGGTTGCTTAATTTCATTAAAAATGATAGACTGTATAGATATCATTCCTCAACAACATTTTAGAAAACAATTGCTTAGTTTTATATAAGTGCATCATCTCAATCAGAGGACACAGACCAAATGTGTCCAGAGCCCAGGCACCTACAGTTACTTTTTATTCTGACAGTAAAGAGGGAAATTAATTTGCAATTGCTGTACAATAAAGAAAAAGTTACTGTTATGTTCAATGTAAAACCTACTCCCCAGCTTTACTTAAAATTAACTGACTCTCTGTAAACTATTCAACCTTATCTATCCTCCCCACATTCTTAGCAAAGTTCCCAGGCATCCAGAGGGTCCTGTTTTTCTTGCTGACCAGCTACAAGGTCACAGAACAGATAAAGCCTAAAAATTGTAAGATATGTTTTTCAAAATGTTATTTTTCAAATGTAAAACACACCATAAGACATGTCACAGGTTAATGAACAGCTCTTTGTTTTTGGTTCTGTAAAATCACTTCCTGCTTCATCATCCTGTATCACAAAAGTGCTTAAAAGACCTTCAGTTTCTTGGTACCTTGCTCAGTCTTGGGAAGTGATTCCACTGAGCCCATGATTGCGTTAAATAAAATCCTCCTGCTCCCCCTTAGGTCTCTCCAAGTCTCTGATTTCCTGCTTCAACAGTAACAAAATACCACCCAGTGCCTATCCGGCCATAGTTGAGCTCTTGGCCTGTCTGAATAGGCTAGCCATCAGTCAATGCCAGCTCATGGTTGTCTCATGAAATCCTCAGGTATTTTCATAATTTAGAAAGTGTAATTTATGAGAAATAGCTCAAATTTTAAATTTTGGCAACTGAATAATGTATTTTCAAAGCCCCTGGCAGAGCAAATAAAAGTATGAACCAAATTTAGCTCATGAGCCAGTAGTTTGCACCTGTGGATCTAGATCAGCCAATCCTCAATAACTGTCTAATATGTTACAAGATAAAATCAACAGACTGGCATAACTTATTGTCTGTGCGGACTAATTGGATGCAGACATTATCAAAACCTAAAAGGAAAAATACATGTGCACAAAATGAGATTAAGCCAGGCACAGTGTAGTGCTCCTGTAGTCCCAGCTACTTGGGAGGCTCAGGTGGGAATATCCCTTGAAATCAGGCATTTGAAACCAGCCTGGGCAGCATAGCAAAACCCCATCTTTGAGAGAGAGATTAAGAGCCCTAGCAACTAAGAAGTTATTTGTTCCTTGAGAAAATAGATTATGCTTTGTTCTTTTTTGTGGGTCAGTGCTTAACATAGTATCTGGTCCATAATGGGCTCTAAGTGTTATAAGTAAAATTTCGATGTCACAAAAGAAATAGCCCTCGAAGATAAATCCTCACAGCAAGGCAATTTACTTCTGTAGAAGGGTACAGCTCATGGATGGAACAATGGCAGCCACCACATTTGGACAAGGGGGGAAGGGGTACTTAAGCCTGACAGACTGGTCCCTACTGCTGTGTCATTCCCCTATTGGCTAGGGTTAGATCTTACAAGCTAGACTAATCCTGATTGGCTATTTTAAAGAGAGCAGGTCCAAGCTGCAGTGGCAGGGTGGGTGTTTTGGCAGGAAGGACAGTTACAGGTGGGTCAGAGCAGGTAGCCAGGGGTGACCTAGGTCAAAGAAGGTGACCGGAGCAGGTGACTGGAGCAGGTGACTGGAGCAGGTGATTGGGATGAGTCAGGATGGAGCTGGGGACTGGGGAATAGATGTGAACTACTGATTAGAACTGGTGGAGAAGGTTGTTTACTGGAATTACAAGGAAGTTAAACTTTAAAATAGAGAAAGAGTAAGAGAGCTAAACATACTGACATACTGATTCTTTGAAGAGAAACTTAGGGTTCACTATAACATTAAACATAAATAAATGTTTGTTGAATTAACAAATAAATAAGCTTTAAGAAAAATCTTGGAAACTCTGAGGGCTTTATTATACCTGTTAACATAAAGAAATATTCTGTCTTCAAAGGCAGCAAGAAAATGGAAAAAAAAAAGTAATAGCGGTCTAGCCTTAGAATTTGGAGTTGGCTTGAAAAGTAAGAACTCTTTATATTTTCCATATTATCAAAATACATCTATTCTGGTAATCCCTATAATGCAGTGACTCATGAGAGCTTTTATCATATAATGAGGTAAAATGAGATTTAACTTAAAGCAAGAACCTAAACCAAGTATCTGTATGGATATGTTTTCAACATGTAATTTCAATATGTGATTTCCCTTAATACAGAATATTGCTCTGAGCTAGACAGATATTGTCTTCATTTTAAAGATGGAAAAACTGAACTGTACAGGAAGGTAAGTGATTTTATAAAGCCTTGTGTAAAATTAGCAACAGAACTTAATCTCTGACTCAGCTCACAATGGTTCTCTCCTAACAGGGAGGCACCCTGGGGAACTAATAATGTAGAATTGAATCAGGTGAATTACATATGCACAATGACACCTTTGTACACAGGAAGGGTGAAAATGGCCTATGCTATGACACAAAAGAGGAAGGAAAGGGAAAGCATAAAAAGGAAGTTTAATATTTTTCAAGAGGGTTTGTCAGCTTGATCCATGTCATTTTAGCTGGAAACATATTGTTCTGTGATTTTTTTTTTAATTTTCTAGGTGTATGTCTTCTCCACCAGAGTGGAAATTTTATGAGGATAAGAGCCTAAAATATACTCCAAAGCAAGAGTCCCGAGCATTCTCTATCCAGAATTCATTGAATTTTTGATGGGTTAATAGGCTACATATATACTGGTGACAATACAACATAATTATTAGGAACATGGGACTTAAAGTCAATAGAGCTGTCAATGACCAGCTGTGCAATTTTGGGCAAGTTAACTCCACCTCTATGAGTCACACTGCCATCTGCAAAAAGGGGTGACTGTAATAAGACTTACTCCATAAATTATAGTGAAATTAAATAAATGAATGCTTGTAAGAGCCCAGCAGGATGCCTGCTGATACATAACATGCCCTCAATAAATGTTTTCAATACTGCAACATACTGAAATTTCAAGTTCAGTAAAGTATAAAAGTTAAATGTTGATATGTGTACATTTGGAGAAGGGAAGTTTGGTTGTTTCTCAAAAATAAAGTGAGACGTTGAAAGAAAAATTTTTTAAAGTGATCCAAATGTATTTTTAAAACAAACTTTTAATTGATCCCACATGCCATTTACAATGTAGTAATAGATCAAACAAGAAAAAGATATAGATGCAGCATGATTTGCTAACAGAATAAATTACAAACAAAATCAATTTGCAGACTCAAGCTCAATAAGGAAACCTTTCTACATGACATGGTTTACAAAGAAGAAAGAGTGAAGACCTGCAGTCTGGCTGGTCACAAAGAGGACATTCAAAAGAAGGGATATGTGAAATAGTCTTTTTTGAGAAATTTTCCTTGTTCCTAGAAACACCTGTAATTGTTATAAACACATTATTTTATCAACATCCAGCCTACTAATTTTCCAGCAAGTACTTGTTCTTAGATAGTTTATCTTCCCACATATATTTTTTTAGACCTTAATTGCTCCTATGCACGGGCAAAATAAATGCAAAGATAGAAGTACATTAAAGTAAGAAATAAGAGAATACTAGTTTCTAAAAGGAAAATGATACACACTAAATGATCATCATTATATTTAGGGTGATATATATGAGAGAAAGCTACAGGCAAGCAATTGACACTTTTTTCTACCCAAAAATAGCAGAAAAATGAACAATCACACAGCAAACACCATACAACAATTTAGAGGAAAACTTGATGCCAATAGAAGGTAATAAACTACTCCATTGACACTTGCCTTTTCGTGTCTTTAGTATTTACAGGAGCCAATTCATAGAACCTAAAAACTTTTATTTAGTAACACTTTAACTCTGAATTTTCAGCCTTTGAACTCAAGCATAGGAATATCAGCCCAAACCCTCTCACGCAACCAGCCATTGGACCAGTCCATGAAAGTCAGCCATAAATGGCCATTCAGAGAACGTCCTTAGTTTCTCCTTGGCATCCTTCAGTGTCTGGATTAAATTCCATAGGCCTGGAAGATTCCTCCATTAGAATATCATCTCCCTGCCTCCCACTACCTTCCTTGGTCTCCTCGTGGACTGATTGTGCCAGGCAGTCCTGCTCTGAGTTACTCCAGACGTAGCCGGGTAAAGTCATGTGGCTGTCAGGCTGTCTGCTGGCGATCTTGGCAGCTTTGCCAGAGATAAGCACCATGCGCGTGCTGGCCGCCACCTGTGACTGGCTGCTAGTGCTGTGCGTCACGGTGGTGAGCACTGAGCCGCATCTGTGACTGCCACATGGCGGTGTTCTTTTCCAGTCCATGGAGAGATTCCACCGACTCCACATCTTCTTCACCTCTGCCTGAACCTAAGCCACGAGAAACATGTTGTGCATGAGAAATCCTAAGGGAGAGCCCGCAGCCTTGTTACAAGGATGTTTGCTTTGATTTCAATGACAGCAGTAATCATTGATTGAGGTTCCTCTACGTGCCAGGGACTTTATCTTTGTATTTTCTGTCAACCTCAAAAAACCTTCAAGATAGGTGTTAGTTTTGGAGGTGAGCAAATTGAAAGTCAGAGGGAAGTAAAGGGACTTGTCCAAGATCCAAATTTAAATAGAAGTGTGAATGCGGCCAATAGATATATCTGACATACAGGAGAGAAAAAGGAGATTCCGGGACGGAAGAGAAAGTCAAGATAAACTTTGCCAGTGAGAACTTCAGAACTCTCGCTTGGCACATGACAAGCCCATTGGAACTCCTGCACTGAGACCCACCCAAACTCAAGAATGGCTTCCGTAAGATGATCTCAGCCACTGATCAAGGTAGCTTCTGTAAGATGATCTCAGCCACTGATAGTGCCTGCCTGAGAAAGCTCAGTGCTGCCTGGATAATTTACTATTTGCTGTAGCCAGCACACACCTGATAATAGGCCCATGACTCCCCTTTCTTAGGGCATTTACTAAAAAGGGCTCACACTTGTAAATATGCAGCTTTTATAACTCAGAAGCATCTCACTCAAGGACCTGAGAGCCATCCCTTCAAAATATAATCATCAAGAGGGAGAAGGCCTCTTGTCTCCCAGTCTCTGTGGGAAGATAGAATTCTAACTTAGATAACTGCCTGCTTGCTAGCATAGCTGGCCTAGATGTGTTTATACTGACCAAACATTTTTTCACTTCTCTGACGCTACTGAGCCCATACACTCCACCTCCCTCCCTCATTCTCCCTTTAAAATGCCCAAATCACCTCTGTGTGCATTGGAATTGGGATCAGCTCCTTCCCCTGCTATCATTAGTTACAGAATGAACTCTGTTTTCACCACTTGAATTGCTGATGTCTTTGACACCAACTAAGGCTAAGGAATGGCGTAGAAGGTACTCAATTTGAAATGTAACTGTCATGCTATCAATCTGCATAGGCAGCCTGGAGGAGTAAGAGTGAGAAAAGAAGGTTTATGAATAGAAAAGCAGGCACTGCAAATGCATTCTTAATAGGGTGGGGCTCTTGTTTCCATACTACTGAAGATTCAATTCTACTTGGATAGCAACTTTTCAGAAGGGAGCTTATTTAGAAGTTCCATGGGAAGCAGTGGAAACTTGGTAGGCTGATGTCGCCTGAAACAACAAACTTCTATCTGTTCATCTGACTGATCAACACCTGACTGACAGAGCAGAAGCACCGTCATCTTGGACAAACACCACCACTTTAAGTTCCTGCTCCCTTTCTAGCCTCATGCATTTTGAGAAAATCACTTATCTTCTAACAATAAACAGCCAGAACGAGCAGACAGTAAAACACAGATAAGACAGCTTGGGCACAGAGGAAGTGGGGAAAGTCTCTTGGGTAACCACCGAACTTCACACTCATAAAATGGACCCCAGTAAAACAGTGTGCCCTAATAAGCACATTCCTTTCCCTTTGGTGCACTAAGATAGGGAAGCTAAAAGCAGACTGGGTGTGGGGGGGCAGTGGGGAGGGGGCGGTATACCTGCAGCTGCAGGAAGATGTATGGGAAGAGACACAAAAACTCTCCCTCCTAGATAAGCAAGACAAAGAGACACAGAAGCTGTCCAAGCCTGTGATAAGCTCTCCCACCTTAAACTCAGAAACTCATAATCTGTAAGAAAGAAGGTTCTCTGACCTAACTCAGCCAGAAGCCCCTCCCAGGTTTATTCTCTAAAATAAATTCGCCTTTGACTGTTGAGCTGCTTTTCTGTGTTTCTTTCCTCTTTCTTTAACTCTTACACTGATCTACTTACCCTTTCTACAAAATAAGATAAGAACAATACAGAAGTAAATCAGGAAATTAATGAGTTACTACTTAATTTAAGCTCTTTCTGCAAGTACTGGACTAGCATGCCACAATGTCCAAACCCTAAACATGGTCAGAAGCATCAGCTGGTCTACCGCAATAAAAATATCCTTGCACTTCTGGGGCCTGCAGCAAGCTCAGCATTTGCGAAAAGAAAGATGGCCACTCATGTTAAAAGCAGGGCATGTTAAAAGTTACAAGGTAAAAACTATTACCTAGTGAGGTTACTTCTGTCCAGCCAACTCCTTAATGAACTGAAATTGTCCCATCATCATCTTATAGTTCAAAAAACATCAAAATATTTGAATGAATTTGTCCCAGGAAAACTTATATTTGAGTTTTGTACAGAGCTTGAAATCGAATAGAATTTTAAGTACTAACTGGAATATGACATTCATTCCAAGTATCTGTTTGTATTCCAACAAGTTGCTTTTTAACATCAGAGTATACAGGTGTGATCACGTTTAAAAGAAGAGGTTATTAGTGTAAATAACCTAAAAGAAGAAGACTTTAGGTTATTTACACTAATTCTTTCTTTTCCAAAATAATTTATGATTAAAATAGCTTCCTTCTCCTCACCCATTCCATCCTATAAATCCTGGGAATCCTAAAGAGATTCAGGACACATGATAATGGCCGTTTACATGCTGAAGTGAGACCTATGGGATGTCCAAGGTTCCTACAAACCTACCTCTCCATTGCAGTAGCAGTAGATGATAGACACAAAGAAACCCTGCAGACAAAAGAGAATGTTAGCCCACTGCCAACTCACAAAACTCATAGCACTAAAGCATCCTGTAACAAAATGTGTATGTCAAAAAATTGGTTTTTATGATTCCTTCAAATAATTATACAAATTATTCTCTCTTAGTGTTTCCAAATCCTTACGTTTACATTAAATTTCTTTGAGATCTTTCCTTGGTGTCAGCTGAACCAAATAAGTCACTAAATACAACATTCCAAGATACACAAAGAACAGGTTTATATCATATTAGTTTCATTTATGTTGTGACTCATAGATCACATAATACCTATCCCCTGCTTGGTAAGAGGAAGTTATAAGCTGTAAATGCTGAAAACTACAAACATAAAGTATTATATAGTAAGAACACAAAGAAACCTTTTGTTTCATTCATTAAAAAATATATTTATTGAGCTTATGCAGTGTGGTAGCTGTTCAGCATGACAGGGGCAGGGATAAACAATGTAAACAAGACAGACAAGTTCCCTGGTCTAGAAAGGAAGAGGCATGGATAAAATATAAACAGCACATGAGAAAAATGCAAAATGATAAGGGTTATGCAAGAAAATAATGAGTGATTTTAAAAAGAGTAACACAGTGGATATATTAAATGAGGTATTCAACAAAGTATATCTGAGAAGCGGATATTCAAGTGGGTTTGAGTGACAAGAACAAGTAGCGAGCTGTGTAAAAATGTGGGGGAAAAGCAGCCCAGGCAAAGGGAATAGCCAGTGCGAGCCCTGGAGGTAGAAATGAGCTTAAGCAACAGAAAGTATAGAAGAAATAGTGTGGCCCTAACTCAGTGGGCTACATCGGAGGCTGGTGTGATACAGGGTGAGAGGCAGGCAGGCTCCATGACACACTGTGTATGCCAGACAATGGCATTTGAGTTTTAGTCTGACTGCAGCTGGAAACCTTTGGGTATTTCTGGCAAGTAGATGACATGATCATATGTGGACTAGCAAATGAGTAAGCAGGAGGAAGAGTAATCCACGTGAGAGATGATGGTTATTACAGCTTCAAAGGAGATAAAGTGTGCACAAGCAAACTCTTCCTATTTTTGTCTTCCCTCCTTGCTCCTTTTTTCTCTTCCCTGCTTCACCTTCATTTGCTTTTATTTATCCTCCATATACACAGGCAGAAGTGCTTGTTCTTGTAGGTATTACATATTTTACAACAAGGTGTTTCCTTATCTCTAGGAACAGCTCCAGAATTTCTACTGCTGTGACCAGAGGATTAACCTGACCTCTGTAGGACAGAAAAGCCCAGGCACTACAGAATAACAACCTTTCTGCCACCCCAACTCCCCAGACAGGTGTATCAAAGCTGAGAACAGAGCAGAAGGTTGCAACGAACCAAAATAAAAGTAAAAAGAGCAGATTACAAGAATCAAATGACTAGGCAGCACTCTTTACCTGAAAGGAGTTGAAGAAGAGCTCGCAGTGCATGCGGATCTCCCACCCAAGCCCAGTGAAGGAATGAGGCAGGCACACGAACACGATGTAATGCACTCCAAAGACCAGGACCAGGACCAGTGTTGATTTGGCCAGTTTCCTAAAGGAGAACAGCAAACCTTTTCATTCATTAACTAGGGTTCCTTTCAGGAGAGACAGCATGTTGGAGGAAAAAAAAAACAGCAAAGCTAATGGGGGTGGGGCTAATTCTTTTTATTTTTTCTTGAGACAGCATTTCACTCATCTGTCTCCCAGGCTGACGTACAGTGGCATGATCACAGCTCACTGCAGGGCTGACCTCCTGAGCTCAAGCAATCCTCCTGCCTCAGCCTCCCAAGTAGCTGTGACTACAGGTGCTCGCCACCATGCCTGCCTTTTTTTTTTTTTTTTTTTTAATTTTTCTGTAGAGACAGGGTCTTGCCATGTTGCCTAGGCGTGGGCTGACTTTTCTCTATCTCTTGGGATCACACTGCTTCTGCTAGTTTTTTTTTCCTTTCCCTCCTCTTTCTGTCACTTATATACTAAATCAGGTAATTTATTCTCAATCCCTGTAATTACTATCCCCTAAATCTTTCCAGTCTCATTTCTACTCTTCGTGCTTAAAGGATACTATTTATATAAAGTTATAAAGTGCCTTTTTTTCTGTCCTAAGTTTCCTTTAACTTCTATATTTGAGACTTAAAGAAGTGTCACCTCCATCCAGATTACCTGCCTTTACTTTCATAGGAGTATTGTGGCTTCTTTTGTTCATTTTAAAATCAATTACTCCCTTGTTTCTTCTTACATTTGTGTCTCCATATATTACTGATGATGCTTATTCTTGGAGACACTTTATATTTTTTCTATGAGCCATATGTGATCAATTTATCTTGCCTTCTCTGAATAGTCTTTGCCCAATATTCTATCTCAAAGTGCTTGTAGGTCTATTTTGTCTATTTTTTTGGCAAACTAAGTAGATTGATAACATTTTCATCATTCTCCTTAACTGCCTCTTTCTACACATTTTCTTAAGTATTTGGAAGAACCCCAGGCTTTCCAATATGATGGTTATTCTAATTGGGCCTCAATGATCCCCCTTCCTGCTATTTATGCTCCTGTTTTATCCTTTCCTTCTAAGTGTAGGCAAGACCTGGGACTTGTGTCTAACAAGTAGATTATGGCAAAGATGACAACATGCCACTTCTGAGATTATGTTGCACAAGATTGTAACTTTCATCTCACTAGCAAACTGGCTCTCTTGTTTGGTTCCATGAAGCAACCCACCATGTTGTGAGCTGCTATATTGAGAGGCCCATGTGGCAAGGAAGGGTGGCATCTGCACAACAGTCCGCAAGTAATCCTGAATCCTACCAACAATCACATGAACTTAGAAGCAGATTCTTCCCCAGTTCAACCTAAAGATAAGACCACAATGTCAGCTGACAAATCAATTGCAGCCTGGTAAGAGATCCTGAAGCAGGGGATCCATACCCAGATTCCTGACCTACAGAAACTGGGAAATAGCAATCGAGTTGTTTGGAGCCACTAGGTTTGTGGTCATTCCTTTTGCAGCAATAGATAGCTAGCACACTCAAGCTACTATTTTCTGGGAGGTTTTCCTGCAGGGGTGGGGTTATACTATTTATCCAAGAAATTGCCAAATCTGGCTTCTTGTTTCATACTTATTGCAAATATCTCCTTTTCTCTGTGAATTATTTATATTCTAATAATCTCAAACAATTTATCTTCTTCCTTTCTCACTAATCTTTCCTTCAGCTGCTTTATTTCTTTATCTGTTTTTCTTCTTGGAAATAAGATGTATGAGTGAGTAGAGATCACACTAGACTAAGGCTACAGAGATCTTGATTCAGATTCCATACTTGACATGAACTACCAGTGTGACAGTGATTTGTTTTTATCTCTAAAATGAGGAAGTAGGGCCTAGAAGTCCATATAAGTCATAATATTCTCAGGCTTTACTGGGAATAGTCTTCCGTGTACATTTACTTTCCTGTCATAACCCTCTTGTCAACAGGAGCAGAAGTGTTCCATAAAATCATATTGAAATGCCGAATGTAAATGTAGGTGGAGCTGCACATTTGCTCTACCCCATTGTCCTCTGCTTGTCTTTTCTCTCACTAGTGCTTGAACCATTTGCTCCACCCACTCGTCCTCACATTCAGAGCTTCCCTGCAACCTATGGGCTTTCTCCTTTTCTGCTCCTGGTCCTCACACCTCATGCTTTGAGTTACCTACACTCTATTCAATTTGAAAATTCTACCTTAAATCTGTTCCATCCAAGGCAACATCCCTGATAAGCAGTGGATTCCTTTGACCTAACTCATCCTTTCAACTCTCAGGGCTCCCTGGGATATGCTTGTTCTCCTGAATCCTGATGGTGAATGCCTTCTTTCCATCACTGCCTATGTGGGCAGGACACTTTGAGTGCCTTCATGGCATTTTAGTTCAGCCTAATCAGATAAAAGGGGAAAGAATTAACTGCACTTGCACAACCTTGAAAGTCGTGTCTAACATCACTCTAAAGCAAAAATTGTATGTCCTTCTTTAAGATGAAAGGGTAAATCCTCCCAGATACTGTTCTTAAAATCAAGCCACTAATTTTTCCTACTGTGTATAACTAGGAGCCCAAAACTAGGTTGAAACAACAAATACAGCAGTGTAGCACATTGTGAAATTGTCACAAATCTAAACATAAGGGACAGTTTGGTTCAATGCAGAGTAAGGAAAAGTTGCTTTAGGCAACCAAAATGTAGTGGGTTATCCTGCTGGCTCAGCCATATGGGTTTTCTCCCTCTTTTTCTAGGACTAAGCTCTTTTATAACTCCATGAAGATAGAAGTTAGTTTATAGAAAACAGGTAGCAATTATATTCATCTTCTATTGCTGTATAACAAACTAATATGAATTTAGTGGTTTAAAACAATACTTATTCATTCTCTCTCAGTTTCTGTAGGCTAGGAGTCCAGGCATGTACCTTGGGTCCTTGGCCCACAGTCTCTTAAGGCTAAAATTAAGATGCTGGCTGCCATCTTTAAGGATATTATCTTATCTTAAGGATATAAGCTCTTATCTGGGCCTCAGGGTTTACTTCTAAGCTCATTCAGATTGCTAGGAGAATCTCAGATTCTTGCAGTTGCAGGGCTATTTGTTGGCTGTCAACCAGGGGTCATTCGATACCTGCAGGTTTCTTTCAGGTTCTAGCTTTAGGACTTCACAACATGTCAGATTGCTTCCTCAAAGCCAGCAGGAGAATCTCTCTCCAAGCTCACAGGAAGGAGTCTAATATAACACATTTAGGAATGATATCTTAACACCTTTGTCATATAAAGTAAACTACTCAATGGGAAGGCTAGCCCATCATAGGTCTTACCCACACTTGAGGCAAAGGGTATTGTGAGGGCAGGGATTTTACAAGGCTTATATACCCAGGGCAGGAATCTTGGAGGCCTTTATAGAAATATGCCTACCGCATTAATACAAATAATTCCTGCCCATAGAAATACAAATTCTATCCCGTGGAATGTCACTAATTATAGCCCTGTGGATATTGATGAGTTTTGCTAGTTTGCATATGCCAGGAAAATGTGTACATGCGTCATGGGTCTGGCTATTCACTTAAAATGGACTTTTACAGTCTATTCAAATCATGTAGCAATCCTGGGAACTGATTTTTTTCAGCATCCATATGCACATTGTACGTTTTTATACACTGGCTCTCTGAAAATGCACAGCTGTCTAATAAGATGATTCAGGGATGTACCAACTGATAGTGGTCTTCTGGCTTGCTGGAAACATGGTGTGCTCTGTGTCCAAGGGCAAAGCCATGAGAGAAATGCAAAGAAGTCAGGTGGTTTTGGGACTCGGTGTCCTGTTTAGAAAACAGATTCGTAATTCTGTGGTCTCTCCCCCTACGTGATCTCTCCCCAGGTGACCAGCTCTAGAAAATCTAATTTTCTTATAAGAATTAATTTAGCTTTAAAAAAAATACTATTCCTCTTAAGCCTTTCTTTTTTTTTTTTTTTTTTAATTGCATTTTAGGTTTTGGGGTACATGTGAAGAACATGCAAGATTATTGCATAGGTACACGCATGGCAGTGTGATTTGCTGCCTTCCTCCCCTTCACCTATATCTGGCATTTCTCCCCATGCTATCTCTCCCCACCTCCCCACCCCTCCATCTCTCCCCCATGTGCCCCCAACAGACCCGTGTGTAGTGCTCCCCTCCCTGTGTCCATGTGTTCTCATTGTTCAACACCCGCCTATGAGTGAGAACATGCGGTGTTTGATTTTCTGCTCTTGTGTCAGTTTGCTGAGAATGATGGTTTCCAGGTTCATCCATGTCCCTACAAAGGACATGAACTCATCATTTTTGATGGCTGCATAATATTCCATGGTGTATATGTACCACATTTTCCCTATCCAGTCTGTCGTCGATGGGCATTTGGGTTGGTTCCAGGTCTTTGCTATTGTAAACAGTGCTGCAATGAACATTCGTGTACACGTGTCCTTACAGTAGAACGATTTGTAATCCTTTGGATATATACCCAGTAATGGGATTGTTGGGTCAAATGGAATTTCTATTTCTAGGTCCTTGAGGAATCGCCACATTGTCTTCCACAATGGTTGAATTAATTTACACTCCCACCAACAGTGTAAAAGTGTTCCTATTTCTCCACATCCTCTCCAGCATCTGTTGTCTCCAGATTTTTTAATGATCGCCATTCTAACTGGCATGAGATGGTATCTCAGTGTAGTTTTGATTTGCATTTCTCTAATGACCAGTGATGATGAGCATTTTTTCCTATGTTTGTTGGCCTCATGTATGTCTTCTTTTGTAAAGTGTCTGTTCATATCCTTCACCCACTTTTGAATGGGCTTGTTTTTTCCTTGTAGATCTGTTTTAGTTCTTTGTAAGCCTTTCTTGGTTGATCCCTTGTGGCCTTGAATTAATCCTTCCCTCTTTTCTGTAGACATAGAACTTCATATGGGCATCTCTGTTGGTACTTTCCTCATTTTATTTAATTAAATCAATCATAATACCTATCTCTTCCACTGTCTCTGTCTCTACCCATCCCCACCTAAATTGTGGGTTCAAGGACACTCAGCAAATGAAGCTACTGGCCATTAAACACCATGCTCCTGTTACATCCCATGCTGCTTGCCTCCTTTTATTCTAACAACCGTGGGAGAGAGCTATTATTATCCCATTGCCAAGGGAGAATAGAGACTCAGAGAAAGAAAGCATCCACCCAATGTGACACAGTAAGCGGTGGATGCGGCCTTAAAATCTCTCCCCTCCTCTTTACTATCATGCTGCATAATAAATACTGGTTGGATTTATTCTAAAAATAATAAACATTAAATATGAGTTTTGTCTAACATTAAATGGGAAGTCAACTTAGTCAAAACATTCAAATATTCTTTTGCACTAAATCTTGCATTTCTCTTATCTCTTACGTTTTCATATCTCTTACATTTTTCTTTTTAATCTCATACTTTTTCATCTCTTATATTTTTTCCAGGTCTGGCAACCGATTCTTACTTTATGAAAAAATTGAGTTGTAATTTAAAAGGAAAAAATGTATTATTTGTGTTATTAAATCTAATGAATTAATTTTATTCACACAATTTTATTTAAAGGTAAATGATTGTAAACTGTAGTTATACACATTGAGGGAAACTGGCTTAAGGATATATGGAATCTCTTTGTATTATTTTTGCAACTATATGCGAATCTATAATTATTTCAAAATAAAAAGTTATTTTAAGAACTGATTTATTAATTCATTTCTTCCATTTTAAACCACCATGCCAACTAAAGGGTTTTCAGAAGTCTTCCTTTTTTTAGAAGTCTTATCTTTTCAGAAGTCTTTCTTATTTGTGTGTGAGGACACATTCACCTGGAGAGATTATGTCAGCTCTGAAAGGTGTTTTCAGTTTTTCACGATAGTATGCATGGAAATACGCTTTGAAACTGCTTTAGATACCACCATTTGGAAATTTTGTATTGTCTTATTTTATAAAGAATATCTGAACATTTGTTAGACAAAGGTAATAACAAAATAGAAGATAAGTTTAAAGGCACAAAAATTAGCTGATGTAAATTTAAATACTCAATTAACCCTCATCGTAGGAATGTCACTGAGATGGTGACACAGATTTAATTTTCCTAAGCCTACTTAAAAAGTGACATGCTATTTAAACTTGATAATCTAAGGCCTCAGAAACAGAATATGGAATTGAATTCTCAAATTGATGTCAAGTAGGTTCCCACATTTTTCTCTCAAAAAAGAGCCACTCTTCACTACATTTTTATCTGTGGCCGCCATAAAAAAATGCATTTGGCTGAAAAATACTTTTTCTGACTTCTATTAGTCTAAACTGATCTAATTAACAACTTCACACTTGAAATTTTCTAGACACCAGATTCTTTCAAAGTTATTCTGAATTCCAAGTAGTTGATTATTTCAGTCCTTGATAAATTAATCCCCCATGAATTAATTCAAAATATTGTCTATCAATTTTTAAAGATGGAGCACCCTTTGTTCTCTCCAAATTTTCTCATGTCCCTTGGTCAACATTTTACTAAAATTATTAGTTCATGTTATGCAGAACCATAGAAATAAGCAGCTTTGTTCAGAACTAGAGAAATAAGTAGCTTCCAAACATTACTATACTCTTCCACTTTATGAAGAAGACTGAAAAGTTATTTACTTTTTGGATTATTCTACTCTTTGCTCTTTGTCTTCAAAGATGGGATGTGATGTGAAAGATAAGCTATATTAATGTAATATACTATAACTCATGCACAATGCATAATACTACCACTGACAACACAACCATAATATGGTTAATAAACTTCATAAACTTCACCATAAACTCACGCACAATGTGTAATACTACCACTCATACACAATGTGTAATACTACCACTGACAGCACATTAAAAATAACTGGCTCTAGCAGCTGCTGGTTTGTTAATACTGTGCATTCTATGGTCATAGGATACTGTGCATCCTACAGGTCAGACAGTCTTAGTAGCTCAACAGTAAATATTACCTAAATGGTGGAGAGGACTAAATCAACGAGGACTTACAGAACATTTGGGAGAGAAGATCAAAATGCTAACTATGATATTTTTCCTCTCTATGTCTGAGATAGCATTTCATAACAATCTGAGGCAAAAATCAATAGTTAACTAGGGATTATAAAGCCAAATCCACATCTACCTGATTACTGGATGTATGTGTCCAGTTGGATAGATGCCACTAATATTCAAAATTTCCAAAATGATCATTATGAGAAATGCACACAATCTTAAGATAGTTTGATAAAACTGCAAACACTCAATTTGTCCTTTTCTTCACGAAAGGATGAAGAATGGACTGCCCTCAATCAATACATTTGCATATTTGGTGACAGACAATTTGATGTAAAGATTTAAAACAATACAGCAAATCCACTTGATCTTTTCAGTTATGATATATTTGTATAATGCAAATAAAGTTGTCTGCCAAGGTCATCAAAATGTCTTCTGGGAGTTCATATATTGTTGACAGGAACATCCCAATCTGCTAAAAACAGATTTAAAAATATACTTAGAATTTAAGGACAAGGGGTAGCATTTGGGGTTACTTATATTTTCTTACTATAGATATACTTTTCTGATAAATCACACAATAAATATACATTCATAAATTTAATCTCTTAAAGATATTTCAAACCAATTTGTATCTGTTCTTTACTCGAAATAGTAACCAAAGGCTGGGAGCAGTGGTTCATACCTGTAACCCCAGCACTTTGGGAGGCCAAGGCGGGTGAATCACCTGAGGTAAGGAGTTTGAGACCAGCATGGGCAACATGGCAAAACCCCATCTCTACTAAAAATGCAAAAATTAGCAGGGAGTGATGGTGCATGCCTGTAATCCCAGCTACTTGGGAGGCTGAGGCATGAGAATTGCTTGAACCCAGGAGGCAGAGGTTGCAGTGAGCCAAGATCGTGCCATTACACTGTAGCCTGGGCAGCAGAGTGAGACTCTGTCTCAAAAAAAAAAAAAAGAAAAGAAAAGAAAAGAAATAGTAACCAAAATATTTCCTCTGATGGATGCCTGTCCTGAAATTACCTGTATTGCTTTCTTGTGTCATGCCCAACTGCATTGGTCTCCCAGATTTTGGTAGCTAGAACTCTAACCGTATTCAGAAACAGAACAAAATTCAGCTGAAAAAGAAGGTAAGATTACAAAGAATTATTGTTAGTCTTCAAGATTTTTGTAAACATTTACGTAAACTGAAATTTTTTCCATTCAAATAAAAAATATTACCCATTCCATAAATGTGAACAGGGGAAACTGAGTAAGATTATTGAAAGGCCAGTGATTCTCGATTCACCCTCATGAAAATATAAAGAAATTTAAAGTTTCAACAACACTTAAAATACCAGAGGATGATCTGCCAGGATCCACAGGGACTTTCTAAACTGAAATTTAGATGAAGCCCTTCGACAAACTGGCAGGACAAAGGGTAATAGTTATTATAGAAATGTAATCAACTGTCCTCTCTAAAAGGAATTCCCAGGTATGTCTCTATTTTAGGGAGAGGAATAATAGAGATAATTTGGGGATACTCTCTGTCTATGATGTACGAAAAGTATTGGGTGAAGGTGATATGAGGTGTTCCTTTAAAAAAAAAAAAAAAAGACAAGATAAGTAAGATGCTATATAAGGTCCTCAGTGTAGCCAATTAGATTGATTTTTAAAATGTTATAAGTGTGAATACCACTAGAGATAATCAAGTTCTAGCTTTTAAAACGTGAGGAAGTGGAGTGTTGAAGGAATAAGCCCCTTTCTGTCTGAGGACCTCAAAGATCAGTGAAGACATTCAAAATGAAGATGAAGAGCATGTCTCCAGGTCTGGAGTCATAAGGAGATAGAGGCCTGAAACCTTGGGTCCCTCCATTCAGGGAGATGTCAGCTGTCCAGAAAGTGCTAGTGATTAGGAATAATGGAAATGTAGATTGTCAACAGCAGGCACTGTGTCCATGCCAGAACAGGGGCCAGAAGAGAAAGCCATCAAGCCCTGCGTTCCTGGGATAGTTTGTCTTGCAGAGTCCTGAATCATTTCAAGAAGTTAGAGAATTTTGGTTATCAGAGGACTTGTGTGTCTCAGTCTGAAATTCAGCTGACTGCATCAGCCCTGAACACCCCACCAACCTCTCTGCTATCCTACCACTGACTACCCTGTGGGCACCTCTCAACAATCACAACTTTCTTCAAGAACTCAGGACTAGGTCTTGAGCCCCACACATGTGGAAAAAACAAAGTTGGCTGTGAGCTGATGAAAGGAAAGGGATGTTTCCAGGCTGTTAATAGCTGCCACTTACTGAACATTTTCTAGTTTAAAACCTTACATAAACACGAAGGAGACATTTTTATTTTTTTACATCCATTTTTTATGGATGAAGAAACTCTAGCTCAAAGAGATTAACTGTTTTAACCTTGAATACCCACCCATCGGCTGGAATTTGAACCAGGTCTATGTGACTCTGTATTGTGAATCCTTAACCACCATCTGATACCTTTTATCAGGAGGACAAAAAAATGCAAAACATGAGAGTTGAGGACTTCCATCTTCACCCACTACAACTTGAAGCTCACAGACAGATTTTGTTTTAATAAGAAGGTGAAAAGCCATTTGAGTACTGCTCAGGTCACTGAGAAAGAAGCACAAGTGCTACTTTCTGAATGACAGAATTTACTTCATGCCCCATTAATTCCTGTCTCTTTAAGACAACAGCCCCTGGCAATGCAATGTAGCTGTGATAAAGATATTGGGGAATGATATGTAGAACTGCTGTGTGAAGGACTAAGTGGTAGGAGCTGAAGCTGGAAAAGCTGTGGAGCAATACCAACTGGATTGCTACTTGTCATGCCTTATCCTCGAAAAGGAAGAAGTATAGATGGCTTCTGACGCGCCAACCTTAAGCTTCACCTTATAAAAGGACCAGGACCAAGCACTCTGTCTTTAGATTAGTAGACTACACTAAATAAATATGCACCCCCACTCCCAGAAAACTGACTGAAGGAAACACAGGCCAATCAGTTCATCCATTTAATAACTGAGAAGATATGTTCAAGGGCAAGCAAATTGATTATGAAAGAATTAAGAATTTTTAAATATTAAGACTGAGTAAAAATTGATGCTTTAAAAGGTAAGTAACAAAATACACACATGACATACATATATACACATATATTGATACATGCGACATCTGGATGAAATTCTAAATAATTATTCTGAATATTCAGAAAAATATAGACTTATGGGTTCATTAGAAACTAAGTTACTGACTACTAACTATTGTAAATGAATTGACTCTTAGTCTCACAGCAGCTCTATGAGACAGGCATTTTCTTGTTCCCATTTCACAGATGAGGAACCTGAGTTACAGATTCCACATATTTTGCCCAGCCACACAGCTTGCAAGTGGTAGGGCCTTAATGCAGCCCATGTGGCCTAGATTCACACTTTATACTCTTAACCACTGCACTATAGTGTCCATAAAATAGAGTTGAGTTAATAGTAGACTAAGATGGAGACAGAAATTTAAGAGCAGGATGAATTAACAAAAGATTATAAGGAATCTAAAATATAACCAAATCTTAAAATCAGTATTAGAACACCAAACAGTAGGTCTGACAAAGCAAAAAAAAAAAAAAAAAATGAATTCAGCAACTTAGGAAACAGTTGAAGAATCCTCTCAAAGGGAGGGGAAAAGAACAGAAACTTGAGAGTTTGAAAAGGGGCATTTTAGTGAGGGTGTGGCAAGGGCTTTAACAGTGAAAATTGCTCCACTTTTGGCTTTGATGATGGAGGAAGGCATCAAGAATCATGGAATGCCGGCAGCCTCTAGAAGCTGAAAAAGATAAGGATTCTCCTCTAGCACTTCCATATGGAAGGCACCCCTGCCAACACCTTGATTTTAGGACTTCTGACTTCCAGAACTGTAAGAGAACAAATGCGTGTTCTTTTAAGCCACTAAAAAAAGAGAAGAACGAAGACTAGTGTGAGGAGCTATATAAGGTATAAGATGCCTATCTGGAGGACATGAAACTAAGAGTCCAATGGCAGATTATTTCTCTTTCTGAAGAAAAGATGACAACAAATAGAATAAATCAATAAAAACATAACAGAAGAAAATTCTTGCGCTAAAGGAAGACTTGAGTCTGCAAATGGGAAGGTGACATTTTATACCAGGCAAAAGAAATAAAAGAGAATAAGACAAAGAGGAAGTTTCTGGTGATTTTTTTAGTAGCAGGAGGAGGAAGAGGAGAAGGAGGTATAATTTTTTTAATGAAGACATAATTCTAAGAAAAAAAATCATTAAAGAGTTCCTGCATGTTTTATATAAAATTCCTAAAGAAAAAGACTTTGCTTGAGGCAAACTACAGACAAAACAAAGCAATTACTAAAAAGAGAGAAGGCTTAGAATAACATGACCTTTAGTAAACATTAAAGCTAATAACACATAGAGTGAATTTTGTTTAAATATGGTTTCGAAATAATACAAATATAGAAATCAAATTGTTTTTCAATTAAAGATTTTTTTTTTAATTTCAATAGTTTTGGGGTAGAGGTGGTTTTTTTGTTACATTGCAGAGTACTTTTGTGGTGATTCCTGATATTTTAGTGTACCCATCACCTGACTGGTATATACTATACCCAATATGCAGTCTGTAATTAATGATTTAAATAAATATAAAGATTTGTTCAGAGTGAACCACAGATGAACAAAAACAAAGAAAACATTTCAGCCACCATGGAAGCTACTCAAGCAGTCTTGTCTCTGACACTTGGTTCCTGGAGTTTCCTTTGCCTGGACCCTTTACTCTCTCCACTCACTTTCCCTTCCTAGGTCAGTTCTCAGGGTTCAAGTCAAATGTCACCTATTCTCAGAAGCATTTGTTATGTTTAAATGTTTGCCTCACTCACTAAGCTTTAGCTGTGGGAGAAGAAATAGGTGTCTATCTTCTCCTCTCCTCTCTCCGCTCCATTGCCTCACACAGGGCCTGCAATGTTCTTGGTGTTTGATCAAGATTTGTCCAATGAGAGTGAATAAATAGGTGAATGAGATATGCGTGCTGTAAACACTACTTATATTGAGGTCAGTTAGCACATTCCCCTTCAATGTAGAATTTTCACTTCTAGGCATAACTCGCAAAAGATATAATCATAGGAAGAAGCCAAAATTTAGGCATAGAAAAGGTAACTTATGAAATAGTTATAAAATCATGTCTTTACACTTGCCATTTTTACCTTTGCTTTTGGATACGGGCTGGGCAGGAGTGCTCTTCCCCTATTCCTGATGTTTCCTTTCAGGGAAGGGGCTCAAATGATATGTCCATCTTTTCTCTGTCCTCCCCTTTATTCTCCATCCCTGGAGGAGAAGGATTGAGTATTCAATAAGTAAATGTGGGAAGACATACTGAGCTTGCTTGATGCAGCCCATTCTTCCTTCTCTAGGGAGCTTGCAGTGAGCAGACTTTCTCTGCAACATCTCCAGGGATAGGAGCCTGCACCTCAGCATCCTGTGCCCAGGTGGGAAGATCCTGACTAATTATGGGGTTCTTCAATAGACCCACTTGTCTAACAGACCTAGGGTCACATCATCTACCCCAGTCTCCCACAGTAGTAAGGTTCTCTCTCACTCCCTTGCTTTATAGCTTAACATGTTTAGAATAAGAGCAGCCAAAAGAGATGCTATGTATTCGTTTCCCTCAGAGAAAATGTAAATACATCCTATCTGCTCGCCCAATGTTTTGGCTTATTTTTCAATATTCAAACATAAGAATTTCTTTTTGCTTTGCTTATTTGCATATTGGTACTAAATGCTGAACTTTTACATAACAGGTAATAAACTCTCTGATCTCTGATCTCCATCATATACTATAATTTGATTATCTGTATCACAAATATAATGACAAAATATGTAGTTCATTTCTAAACAGTTGGAATTCAATTTATAACTTGGAGACAGTTTCTATGGTAAATGTTAAACTTTAATTTCATTTAAAAATATATTTCTAACTGATTTAGAAAAGAAAAGGAGTTCTGAAGGGAAGATTTTTCTCTAGGGAAAAATCAGTTTGGTATTTACAATTGTATCAAAGGTCAGAGATTAAATTTTTATCCATTTTTCTTAAAATTCCTTCATTATCAGTC